ATCACTGAGTCTGTGAGACTCACCCCTCCTTATTTTCTTTTGCAGATAAGTAATTAGTTTTAGTGCTTTGTTCAGCATCTTGAGGCTATTTGCAACCTAGGTAATGGCATATCTAGACTTCCACTTATAGTCGCTCTGCTGCCTAGAGGTCGGTTTGTGTCAAATAGTCAGGCTTGTAATGATTAATAGTTACTGGAAATGTACTGGTTAAAACTTAAGGTTATGTAATGACTACTACTTATAGTGTTGAAATTGTGTGGAATTATCAAATCTGGTTGTTTGTATTTAGAAGCCACGTTTAAATGTTGTGAATATTTGGTTTAAATGAACTATGGTGTTAAAAATTGTAAGTTGAGTTTAAATTGTGTGAAGGCTTAACTAAGGCTTGTTCGGGATTTGGCGGGTTTATTCGTAAGTCTCGAATGCCGGTATCGATCGAAGGAAGAAGTCGTTATAAAGATGAATCCCACCACTGTAACTCTTCAATTGACAGATAAAACTCTCATATATCCAAGAGGCATAGTGGAAGATGTGCTTATGAAAGTGGATAAATTCATATTCCCAGCTGATTTTATAATTCTTGATATGGAGGAAGATAGAAAGGTTTCTATTATCCTTGGGCGACCTTTTTTATGCATAGCCAGAGCACTCATTGATATTGGAAAGGGAGAACTTACCTCGTGAGTACCAGATCAAGAGGTAACATTTAATATCTTTCATGCTTTAAAGTTTACTAATGATCATGATGAGTGTTTTGCAGTTAGTGTGGTAGATAAGGCCACTAGTGAAGCCTTCATGGAAAATCATCCTAATCACCTATTTGAAGCATCATTGACTTCTAAATCTAAGACCAGTAATGAAGAAATCATAAATTGTGTTAATGCGTTGAATGGCCCATCTCTGGTATTGGGAACTTAGTTTGAATTGTTAGATTTGTCTTCATCTTCATCCTCTCTAGTGAAACTTTTAGTTGAGGATCACCCTAAGTTAAAACTCAAACCATTTCCAAAACATTTGAGGTATGCATATCTTGGAAACTCATCTACTCTTCCAATTACTGTTGCATCTGATCTTAATAATAAGCAGGAAAAAAAGTTGCTTAGAGTTTTGAGAGAGCACAAAAAAGGCATTGGGGTGGTCAATAGCTAATATCAAGGGGGTAAGTCCTTCAATATGTGTGCATAAAATTTTGTTAGAGGATAATCACAGAGCCATTATTAAGCATCGGACGAGATTGAATCTAATTATGAAATAAGTAGTCAGGAAAGAAGTAATCAAGTGGATAAAAGCGGGCATCGTTTATCTTATTTTAGATTATGAATGGGTAAGCTTGGTGTAATGCGTACCAAAGAATGGTGGGATGACAATGGTAGCTAACGAAAACAATGAGCTCATTCCCACAAGGATAGTCATTAGATGGAAAGTATGCATGGATTACAAAAAGTTAAACAAGATCACAAGGAAATATCATTTTCCTTTACCTTTCATTGACTAAATGTTGGATAGGTTAGCTAGAAGAGAGTATTACTATTTTGTGGATGGATACTTAGGCTGAAATCAGATTGTCATAGCACCAAAAACGCAAGAGAAAACAACTATCACATGTCTTTATGGTACTTTTGCATTTAGAAGGATGCCATTAGGAATGTGTAATCCTTTGGTCAGATTTCAACGGTGCATGATGTTTATCTTCTCGGATATGGTGGAGAAAACCATAGAGGTATATATGGATGATTTCTTAGTCTTTGGCAATAATTTTGATGAATGTTTTCTCAATCTTGATAAGGTATTGCAAAGATGTGAGGAGACAAACCTAGCTTTAAATTGAGAGAAATGCCACTTTATGGTACAAGAAGGCATTGTCCTTGGTCACAAGGTGTCAAGCAAAGGATTAGAAGTCGACAAAGCTAAGATTGAGACCATTGAAAAACTTCCACCACCAACCTTGGTAAAAAGTATTTGGAGTTTCCTTGGACATGTCAATTTTTATTGGCGATTCATTAAGGACTTTTCCAAAATTGCCAAACCTTTGTGCAATCGTTTAGAAAAAGACATCCCATTTAAATTTGATGATGCATGTCATGTTGCATTTATAGAACTGAAAAAAAAAGTTGACAATTACACCCATTATTGTAGTTCTTGATTGGTCACTCCTATTTGAACTTGTATGTGATGCTAGTGACAATGCTGTTGATGTAGTGTTCGGACAAAGAAAGAATAAAATTTTTCATTCTATATACTATGCAAATAAAACCTTAGTTGAAACTTAGATGCAATACACTACCACTACGAAAGATATATTAGCTATTGTGTACGCATTTGACAAATTTCGCTCATATTTGATTGCACTAAAGTTATTGTTTATACTGACCACTTTGCAATTAAGTATTTGATTGGTAAAAAAAATGCTAGGCCAAGGTTTATAAGATGGGTTCTGCCACTATAAGAATTTGATTTAGAAATCAGAGATAGAAGAGATTTAGAAAATCAAGTAGCCGACCATTTGTCAAGGTTGGAGCATGACAACCAAGGTACAGATGTGACTTTGATCAATGAAACTTTCCCTGATGAACAATTGTTACATGTCGGTCATAAGAACTTGCCATGGTATGCCAGCTATGTCAACTTCATTGTGAGTAAGCTTCTACATTTAAATTTAACTTGTCAACAAAAAAAGAAATTTTTGCATGATGTTAAATATTATTTATGAGATGAACCATTTTTGTTTAAGCAATGTGCTGATAGATTTATAAGAATATGTATTCTAGAGGAAGAAGTTGAAAATGTGTTGAGACATTGTCTCTCATATGAAAATGGGGGTCATTTTGAAGGAGATAGAACAACATCTAAAGTTCTTCAATTAGTTTTGTACTGGCCAACATTATTCAAAAACGCTCATAACTTTATGTTGTATTGTGATAGATGTCAAAGAGTGGGAAACATTTCCAAAAGACATGAAATGCCGCTTAACAACATTTTGGATATGGAGATTTTCGATGTTTAGGGAATCGATTTCATGGGACCATTCATATCGCTATTCAACAATCGATACTTCTTAGTGGCTATCAATTATTTGTCAAAATGGGTAGAAGCATCTGTCCTGCCTATAAACAATGCTATGGTGGTGATGAAATTTTTAAAGACGTACATTTTCACTAGATTTGGTACACCAAGAGCTATTATGAGCGATGAAGAAGTCATCTTTTCAACAAATATTTTACAGCTTCACTCACAAAGTATGGAGTGTCACACAACGTAACCACAGCTTACCACCCTCACACAAGTAAACAAGTGGTATAACATAACGGAAAATAATCAATGGTATCACTGCTAGGATTCAACCTCATGCTCAAACATGAAAATAATCAATAAATTAAAATAATATAACATAACGGAAAAATAAAATAAAATTCAATTAGAGAAACAATCGAATCTTACAGGATCAATGTTTATGTTTTTTATGTAACTTTTCAAATTAATTATGAACACTCATAAGTTTAAGAGTTACATGCCTTGTCCTAGATATCGTAATCAAAAGCCAATTAAATCCAAAATATTTGCTTCTTCACCTTTCGAATTTGTCAAATCTTTAGCCACCCAACTGTTTGGCCTCTAACAGTAACCACACAATGACCGAATAAGACCTTCTCCTATTGGCATACGCCTTGGAGCCAATTAGATTGGTCAATGAATATATATTGTCATCTAATTCATATTTAATTGCATAATTATATGCGATAAAGGTTTTCCTTTATGTTAGTGCAATAATAAAAAGTTATTAATTACTAATTGGATGAAGCCCATGGAACATAAAGGCTTTGCAAGAGAATTATAAAGTTGTTATAAATATGAGATCACTATGCATCAAAGTCATATTCCTAAATTGTTCCTAGTCATTGTATTGTCAAGATAGGGCATTGACAAAGCTTAAAGACTAGTACATGTTAAGCCTTTTGACTTGAAAAGTAAGCAATCGATCTCATAGATTGAAGTATATGGGATACTTGAGGATAACATGTAGGTGCTTGTTAAAGAACAAGTTCATTGAAAATGACCCGCTATGAGAACTCCATTTGGTATTTCACTCAAGTGTCTATGGAAAATGTCCTCATGTGATAGCCATGCAACTAGTCCTTAGACTTAAGGCACCAGGTCATCTTCTATGGGAATGACATACTTTGATTTCACCCCTACGGGTTTAGAAGCAACCAAATGCCTAAACAATGTGTTTTTGGGTATGCCATGAAGCATGCGAAGGTGAATGAGTGGCCAAGAGAGGATTCATCATCCCAAGTGATATGAGGGGAGGTATCTCACTTGTTCTCAATTCTTGATTAACTTGTATAAAGTTTTTGGGCAAAGCATGATGAATTTGAGGAAAATTTGTTTCCTAAATCCATAAGGTTAGTCAAAAATTACGAAAACTAACATGGAATGTCATAAGTAGACACCGAGCCATGCTTAATGACATATCCGAGTTATTTGATGAAAGGACCGTATTGCAATGAGAGGCTTATCACTGACCGTATTGCACTGAGAGGCTTATCACTGAAGGACTTTGTCAAATTTTTTAATTGACTCTCTAACATATGGGTGGTCATGATGTATTCCTAGATGCCGCTCATGATCTATAAATATAAATTAATTATCAAATTGATATTTGATTATGATTTATATTTATTGTTAACATGTTAGAAGCCTAATGGGTCACACACATTTGGTGACATGAATGGGATTAAATAAGGATAATTAATTAAGTTAGACTTAATTAATAGAGACCAAAATAAAGTGAAAAATTAATTGAGTTTTCAAAGACTTAATTAAATTAAAATACAACTGTTATATTCAGGGTTACAAATTAGTTTGGCTATAAAAATATGTTATATTAGGAAACTAAAAACTTGAAACCTCCTATCACTTTTCAACCATTTCATAAAATAAGCAAAGAAAAATAGTTTTCTTTGTCTGACAAAAATAAGATTTCAGAAGAATTTTGGTCCTTTTGCTTTAGAAACAAAACTTTCTAGCACAAGTAAAACCCTACTTTTGAGAAGGTCTTATTCAGTCACTGCGTGGATTACTATTAGAGGTCAAACACTTGGGTGGCTGAAAATTTGACAAATCCTAAAGGTGAAGAAGCAAAGATTTTGATTTAATTGGCTCTTGATTACGATATCTAAAGCAAGATATGTAGCTCTTAAACCTGTGAGTATTTAAAATTTATTCGAAAGTTACATGAAAAACACAAACATTAATCCTGTAGGATTCGACTGTTTCTCTGATTAAATATTATTTTATTTTTTTACTGCATTATATATTTTAATTTTTGATTATTTTTCACGATTGAGTATGAGGTCAAATCCTAGTAGTGGTATCAGAGCCATTGTTTGATGTTTTTCATGTAATTTGCATGCTT